AAGCTACAGAAAGTATTGTACTCAGCAATAAGATCTTTTTTTCTGTAATTCCTGTTAGCGAACTATATTAGTCATGCTAATGTAATACAGTATTTGTGACTGCCTTGACATTGTCCATTTAAATATTCAGGAAGCTGCTTCTTCCACATATTCACATGCAAGTACATCATGCTGGATTAGCTCTAGTCAATTAAGCAGTGTGTTGTCAACTGCAGTTAAAACAAATGGCATGGGCTACTTCATCACCAAGTGACCTCCATTCATTATACAAAAATTGGCATTTATAAACAGGTCTTCCGTGAGATTGTCTTTGGCTTGCCTAGTGACTAAGGTAAGAGGTTACATCCTGCCAGCTGTTGTATTCTGTATCTGCTGAGGCACCTTCGGCATCTTGTGCTCATTCAGTTTAAACAAACAACCCAACCAACCTGCATCTGGATAATAGAAACTGCCATTTCACTTTCTGTCGACAAGTGCAGGGCTGATGTCACTTGTTTATCTGGCAAACATGAGATCAATAAACTCGCAGAGAATTCAGAGCTCACACAACGTTGTGCTTCCTAGGGAGGATTAGCTGAAATGAAATGTCTGACAGCTCTGTGTCAGCTTTTCACATTACAGACCGAAACATTATTTCTTTTCCTTCACAGTCTCTGAAGGAAATGAGAGAGATGTTAAACTGCCAGTCACTTAAATCTTGGCCATTCATTAAGCAAGAAATATCAAGTGAGTAATTTTGTCCGCTTGGAATAACCTGCACTGTTAGCAATTACTTAGGAACATGTCAGCCATTACTGCCATAAGCGGTTTAGCTTGAAGATCAAGTCTAATCATTAGACCTACCATCTTTACCCCAAAACCTTCCTTTGTATAGCATTTCTTAAGCTAGTACCTGCTAAGGGTTCACAATATAGATTGACATGAAAGGCCCAGAATCTTCCAGAAATGTTTTGTTGCTCTTTGCAGTTTGAATCTTCTTGATGAATATTTTCCTTGCCAACTAGAATACAGAGCTAGATATTTATTGTACAGTATTTTACTGCGCCAGTACTTGCAGGCTTGGAACAGATGTTCCAGGAAATGCAAGAGGAACTGAGACTTTCTGAGAAGCCATGAGACAATATAAACAAGAACTTTGCTAAAGTTAACATCTCTCTTGTTAAACTTCAAAACATTGATGAAAAACTAAAATTCATTATCATTGCAGGTGCAAATAACAGTTTTAATTATATTTGGTTATTTCACATGGATGACTATATGATTGTAAGATATATATTTCTAGGCCATAGCTGACTCTCTTCCACTCGTGAAAGTATATCCCCATGTTGCACAGTCAGTAGACTTGCTTCACCAACACACTGTGTTTTCCTACCAGTTGTTGGCTTGGAATACTGTGTGCTTTGGCAGAAATAACAGCCCTCTGGTATTTGAAATGGAACAGTGAGCATGAAACTGTACGTAACTTCCTCCCACAATAGGAATGACCCTTCCTTCCTCCAGATGTGCTTCTACAAATACCAAGTTGAATTGTTCCCTTTCGCATTCACGGATTCCAGTTTAAGGTCAGTCCTCGCTAGTTGAGGTAACTGGAAGATGATACAATCTCATGATAAGACAATATGCTTCTCTCAGGCTTTTTTTATGAAGATAAATTAATATCTCTTACAGTGCTGTAACTGTTGCAAACAAAATGCACTAAGCCTTTATTTTAGGCAGGGGGATTCATTTTACTCATTTTGAAGTGGAAGCTGGTAGATGGTAGACAGCTCTATCTCTACAAACCTCTGCTGATGCTATTTTTAAAAACAAAATTAATAAAAGTCCCTTAGGAGATGCAGAGTAAGACAACAAACATTTCCTATCTCTTTGCCTTTTTTTTTTAATAACTGCCTATTTAAAAGTCCATCACATCCTGTTTATTCTGATGTGCAAGTTTCCATAGTAAGTCTTGCCTGTTGCTGTTCTGTCTCAACAATGTGTAGAAGTTGTATTACAATTATCAGGACACAGATACCTGACGTACCATGTTTTACATAGTTTAGGTCTTTAACCCCAGAAGGGGGACCCTTGTTTACCATGCTGTGGTCTCACCTGAAGGCTCCTCCACCATTTGTCCTCCATCTTGCAGTAGCTTGTCAGTATCTTGGTCCCTTGGATACCTAAGCTCCAGGATACATTAGAAGAGAACTGGATGCTTGTTCACTGTAGTGTATGTTGGTTTATTCATAAGTTTGTAGTATTCTAGCATCACATTTTATCATAGAATTGTAGAGTAGTTTGGGTTGGAAGGGACTTTTAAAGCTCATCTAGTCCAGCCCCCCTGCTGTAGGCAGGAGCACCTTCCACTAGAACAGGTTGCTCAGAGCCCCATCCAACCTAGCCTTGAACACTGCCAGGGAGGGGGCAGTCACAACCTCTCTTACAAGGATATACATGCCACACCAACAAATCTAATTTCAGGATGGGAGTAATGAATTCCAACTGCTTTCACAGGATCTAAATGAAAGGGGAAACAAATGGAAGCAGCAACTTCCTGTGCTCAGGTAAAGGGAGAGATAACTAGATCCCCTTGCTGAAGGCTTGGCTGATTGCTTTTTCTTAAGGTCAAAGTGCTTCTGCTTTGTGTTTGGGTCACAGCAAGTCACCACATCTTTGTCTGCCTGAAATAAAATAGGCCACTGTAATTCAAAACTAAAAAGGATAATGGGGAAGTACTGTCCCAGTACTTTCAAATGTGGAAAGGGCATAAGTAATACACCAAAACCTCTTATGGTTTGGGTTGGTTTGTGTGGAATTGCAGCTTATTATAGGTAGGAATCATGTAACATTTAGTTTAAAATTAATGATCATACTGGGACAAAGATAAACTTATTTCTGAAGAACTCATACGCTTTCTTCTTTTTTGTTTTAAAGATTCTGTATATTTTAGCAGTGAATAAATCTTAAATTAATTCTATAGTAGATGATGGAAAAGCACTTAGAATATGAAAGTCCACATTTGTTAGAAATTACTTATTGCACCATATACTATCAGAAAGATCAGATTATTTTCATTTTATCCAGTTTCGGTGAAGTTTTCTAACTAATGTGGTTTCTGTGTTTATGCTGGAGATATCATTACAAAAATATTTTTTTTTCTGGAAATTAGACTATCACCACATCGTCTTTTCTTCATCTCTGTGTTATGTTTATTTCACATCATTCTTTCTATATATCCCCAGACTATCAGTCTGCTAACTTTTGTATTTCTTTGGGCAAATCATTTCGCCTCTTTTTCAGCAAACTCCATCTGCTGAGTGGGTTGCACTACCCAACCCCCTCCCCCCGCATCTCCCTGGGGTTGCATTTAAATGGACTGATGTTCATAAAATCCTTTCAATGCCTCCTGTCCAAAATTCAGAGGAAAACCATTACACAAGGAGCTGTGGATGCTAACTACATTTTGAAGAAATTGCAAGCAACCTCTTGTTGTCTCCCCTGTTTACTTTGGTCTTCTTAAATGTTGATACATAGAAAAGTCAAGCCAGGAAAAACAGGAAAAAAGCTTGTACTCCTATTTGACAGATTTTTGATGTCAAATTAAAACTTCAAAGACAAAATGAAAATAAAAACATACATTGTTTGGCTCTCTGACCTTTTATCTTGGAATGAGTTCTTGAAATCATTCCTGAAGTAGAGACATTTCGTACATACTTGTGACATTAGCCAAGTGTCACATGAAAGGACAAGCTGTTCCCACAACACTGGGATATCTATGTTAATGGAAGCCTTTACCTGAGTTAAAAGAAACACCTGAACACCCTGTGGCCATGTTATTCTGTAATTATCCATTTTAAATATTTCAACCTTACTTTGATAAATGAAAGTACATAGGGGATACATGATTCCGTGGAGAGGATCAAATAGAAAAAAGATTTGTAGATCAGAAATGCCTGTTACACAATGTAAATCCATTATTAAAAGATCCTCTGATACTATAAGAATCTCAATGTATTAGTATCACAGAAAATTAATGGTAATTAATGGTGACCTCTTGCAAAAATGGATTGTGTACTGTTGTACTGATTCCGAGTGACAGTTTCCCATTTATAAAGGGGCATAGGAAAGACAAAAGTTAAAAAACTCTTAGAGGATGACATCTAAGAAGACACTGAAAGAACTAGGCCTGCTTAGCTGTAGAGACTAGGTGTAAATAAAAGAGGAGAGGGATGCGGTAGCAGTTTGTAAAAGGTACATGAAAGGCTGCTACAGGTAAAATGTATACGTCATGTCCTTGGGGAACAGAACAAGGACAGATGACCTAAAGCTGCAGGAAGAAAGGTTTAGGGTAAACAATTGAAAACTGTGCTAGTGGTCCAGATAATGAGGCACTGGAGTAGATTGCTTAGGCTGGTTGTGTAGTCTCCTGAAGATATTTGCAAGTACATTAAGGAATAGCATCGCTATTATTCATTTCTTAGGAAAGAGGATAGCTTAGATGACTTCTTCAGGTCTCTTCTAATACTAATTTTCTTTCAGTCCATTGGTGATCTTCATAGAATCTTTATTTAGACCCCCAAATAGAAAAGAATGTTTTAGTTATATTATCTAGAGGCTTAGGGTCCCCTAATAGTAGATATGACCCTGGTGGTATCTTAATTGTCTTGATATTACAATCTTATGAATGTACTAAATTAATAGCTCACTATGACTTCTTTGACAAAGAAGTAGAAAGGTAGTGTTTAGACTGAGTTCCAGTTCCACTTTGTAGCGGTGAATGTACATCTGAAGCAAATGGCACAGAAAGCTGTGATCACGTGCAGCTTTTTTGACAGAAATTCTTAGATGTTTAGATTGCTATGACTTTAATGTACTGCTTAATAAATATTACAGCAAAGATCACAATACCTTTCCAAGATTTCTCACTTCTGCTAGCTTGTCAATGCAAAACAACACACACTAAATCTATTCTATATCGGGACAAAAATTTGTACAAGAATTCTAATATTTGTTGTTTTAAGAGAATGAGAGCAATGTGATTCATGACATTATATATCTTTTGTTTTGTTCATATATACATGCCTTATTGCTTTTGATAAAAATTATATTTGCATCTCTGGTCATATGTATGTAAGGTAAAGCCTATCTGTACATGCAAAAGCATTTATGAAGAATATACTTTTCAGCATTCATATTAAACGAGCTGGAAATAGCCAAACCCTTACTAGTAAATATGATGACAGTTAGGAATATAATGCTATAGCAAGTAGTTGCACTCTTCTTAGCAGGAGGGCTCAAAAGCTGTTGTAAATGGTTTCACCAGCGTGGCATTTTTGGACACTTAGCTATTGTGGCTTGCTGCTTTTGGTTTCTTCACTGCTCATACTTCTTGTCACATATACCGAAAGTAAAATAGAGAAAACCTGTCTGCCTTTCCTTCTATGTCAAGCAAGTCATTCCTGAATTCTAAACCCTTTACTTTTGTTCTTTTCCTTCCAAACTGAGCTTGAACTCCTTGGACTCAGTGCCAATTTTCATCTTTATTTTCTGTGATTTGCCTCCCACATTTTCAGTAAATGCTGTAACTGTCACCTAACTTCCGATGATGTCCTAAGGTGTGAAACACATTCTGTTCCATGTACCAAGTGGTTACCCATTAATTTCTGTTTCTTCTTAAAACACACTTTTACAAGAAACACGCCAATAGTGATGCACTTTAGGAATGAATCTGTAATACGCATAAATATGTGTATTTGTCAGAGAATGTGCAGTTCTAGTACTTAAGTTCCATCTTCTGTAGTTCTTTTTTGCAAAAACTTGCTTTACACAAGATCAGGTTTTTCTATCCTTGTTTGCACAAAAGGCCCTGTAACATTATTCATAATTATTAATAATTACTTTAATCTACAATTTTAAAAATCTACTTTTCTGCACTATTTTCTGCTGTCTTTAGGAATTTTATAGCTGTGACTTGCAGTTTTCCAAGACTACTCTCCATTAGACTACTAGCCCCTCCAGATATATATATGAGATCAAAGGATCAAGTTAAAGATATTCCTGTTCATCAGATATTAATGCCTAAATGATATTCTCATTCATTTTCATTTCTAAGTATTTTAAAGCTCAGGGATAAATGGCTTGAATCCATTAAAACTCTCTTCAAGATTTAAAAAAAAAAAATGTGAGTTGTCTGACTGGCAAAGCAAACACTTTAAGACAGGGGTTCTCAACCTTTCCTTCACCACAGACCCCCTTTAAATACGTTTTGTGGCCTCAGACCACCAAGACTTAATTCAAGATTTAAAGCACTAGACTGCATCAAATATGTATTTCAGTTTTCTCATGAAGGGTCTTCAGATTTGGAGCAAAGGCAGGGGAGGCTCGAGAATAGGAGAAGCATTGAAGAAAGGGGGCTGTGGGAAGAGGAGGCGCAGTCCTTGCTGCATGCCAAAGGTTTCCAGGCAGGATGTTCCCCACCCCTGCTTTAAGCCTTCATGGACCCCTTATGACAACCACTGCTTTAAGAAAAAGCCTGATTAAAGGACAGGTAGAACGAGTGGAAAAAAGACATGAAAATTCAGCTGGCCCAAATTTTGTCATTTTCCCTGACGCTGAGGAAGATTTGGTCACTTAATTACTCAGGATCTTCCAAGCAGATCATAGAAGCTGCTTCCAGACCTTCTGGATTCCCAAACAGGCGATGCCTGGAGCTGGCAGCAGTGCCTGGTTTCCACCCAGGTCCTGGTGCGTGTAGCCCCTAGGGGCTACGGTATTAATGGACAGGTTTTATCTAAAGAGAGATGCTGTTGCCATTACTGTTTCAGGCTATGGATTGTAGCTACCATGGCTGATCATTTGGAATGCATGGTACTTCACCCCCCACAAAAAAAAAACCAACCAAATTGTAAAAGCTTTTTAGTGGTATGTTCTGAAATGTTGTAAGACTGGTATACATTTGGTGAGCCACATTATATGTGAACTTTCTACTAATGCAGAAAAGTCCAGAGATTAAATTTATCTTGCTGATACTGTAGGAATAACAATAATTACACATTTTTTTCTTTCATTAAATTTCTGATTTTGATAGATATTCTGCTTTTAGATAGGCACAGACTATGTCTGAAGTCCATCTTCTAAAAGAATTATCCACTGAGAAAAACTCTTCCAAAGGCCAAGGAAAAGCTTCAGCTTGCCAGTTTTTGGAGTTCTTTTCTTAAGAAACTGGCCTCTAGTGAGTAGATCTGATTTCAATCATCTGATTGCATTGGGAAGAGTGCAATTTATAAACTCTGTGTCAAAATTTGAGGGGATTTCCTTTCATGTATGCAGAGTCTTCTGTGTGATGATTTCCTTTCACTCTTTAGGAAGTATGCCTATTACAAGGTAATACAGAATTTCTAAAATAAGGGCTGCAGGAATAGACTGAATAAGGATTGAGAAGATGGATTTCTTTCTGCCAGTCTTGCAGCCGAAAATATTTTTTCTTGTTATCTTTTTCCTATGAAGTAGAGATTTCGAGGTGATGACAGTCTGGTTTTTTATGTGAGCTTTTCTGTATAGCTTACCATTTCCTCCAGACTACTCTCAGCCATGCAAACTCTGAAGAATAGAAATGAGGCAATAACAAGCAATGGGTAGTCAAAGTGTCCTCACTGATATAATTTATTTAAACACAAAAATCCAGAAGTACTTTATTGTGATGATCATTAAATAGACTGAGGGCTTTAAAACATGAGAGGGCAGAATAAGTAGTTAGTTGATTACTGATTGAAATGATTATTTAATTTATGTATAATAAAATAATTTAAAACCCAGGTGAGGTCTTATTAGCATGTATTTTACTATGCCTAACTTTTTTAATAACATAGTGTTCTTTCAGCAGCCCCCAGCTCCTCTTTGCTTCCTCTGTGTTCTCACCATACGCATCTCAAGTCAGAGCACAGCCCTGAATTGCCATGCACTTGCTGTCTTCTGGAGGGGACATGGTGCTGCTGCCTTTAATTTTAGGACAAAACCAAACTCTTTTTTTGCATCATCATCCTCCTTAGTTCATTTCATTGAAGTGAGCAATGCAAATCTTTTCTTCATCACTGATACTATCTTTCCAGTTTCTCACTGTATTTCTTTGAACTTATTTTGGTCAACTCCACTATCTAGATTACATGCAATCCCAGTAACAAAGATTCATTCTCATAACAAAGGGAAATAGTTTATTTTGCTTCACTGACAAAGAATATCTTTGAAAATACAAATGGGTTCTAGACTGTCGGGTTTCTTGTGTTTGTTGGTTGTTTTTTTCTTTCTGTTTTCTGGTGGGTTTTTTTGGACATAGCAGGCTTTTAAAAAGTTTATCTGGGAACAGAATAAATGGTACAGGTTTGTTTTATGTTTGCTAAGGAAGAAGTTTATCAGACTGTTTTGTTGATTTCTATAGATTAATTTTTGGAGAAAGGCTGCCAAAATGTCACTCAAAGCTTAAGGCAAAGCCTACAGCAATCCTGATGCATTAAAATTAAAAAAAAATAAATAATGATGATGATAACCCTTTCAAGCTCAGATTTGCTGTCCATTGAATTACTAGAAAGATTTATTTTTTTATTCAGGGGATATTGTTGTGCTGGATCTGGCTGGAATACAGTTAACGTTCTTCATAGAAATGCACACGGTGCTGTGTTTTAGATTTTTGGCTAACACACCAATGCTTTGGCTACAGCTGAACCGTGCTTGTGCAGCATCAAGGCTTTCTTGATGTCTCACTGCCTCCCCCACCACCTGCACTAAGTAGGGTGGGGGTGGCAAGAGGCTGGAAGGGAGCATAGCCAGGGCAGCTGACCCAAACTGACCAAAGGGATGTTCTGTACAGTATCATGTCTTGCTCAGAGATAAAACTGGGGTGCTGGAAGAAGAAGGTGAGGAGGGATTGCCTTCCAAGATAGCTGTTGCTCAGAGACTGCCTGAACATCTGTCTGCTTGTAGGTGTTGGTGAGTAATTGCCTTTGCATCACTTTTTTTTTATCCTCTTCACTTATTAAACACTCTTTGTATTGACCCATAAGTTTTATTTTGGCTTTTCCTATTTTCTCCCCTGTCCTGCTGCTGAATAGTGAGCAAGGGGCTGTGTGGGTACTTAGCTGGTAGCCAGGGTCAACTCACCACAGGACAGAGGTCTAAGTGTCTCATTCATGTTGTCAGCATCAAGGAGTATTTGTAAATTGTGTCTGTACCAGAGTTCATTTTTTGAGTGGTTACCACTACTCTTGGTGCTGACATGGCTTCATGCAAGGGGGTGTAAAGTGGCCACAGTTTATGTGGCCACAGACATCTCTAACACAACAGATCAGAGCTGGAAGTATAACCACTGACAGCTGGGGAGCTTCAGTTTACAAGAGTCAGGCTTGTCAAGTGTTGCTCCTATTTTAGGGCTGATGTTTGAGAATTCTGTCGTACAATTCAGTATCTCTGAGAAAATATTATACCTTTGGAATAGAAACCAAGAGTACTCCCACCTCTAGTTTATTCTCTGTCCTTTGAGATAAAACTGGGGAATAATTATGTATTCAGATCTGTACAGATTCTTCAAATGTCTGTGACAGACCATACATTAACATGCCATATAAGCATTTTTCCAATAATAATAATGTGGAAATAATTACTTTTTCATTGGTGGAATGACTGCACCCACTTTCTCCTTGGAATGGCAGTTGTGATGTGCTATTTGAAACAGTATCTCAAGCCCCATTTCAAACCCATGGGCCTTTTCCTGCCCTAAAATTTATACTGAGCTGTAGGGAAAGAAAATATTTATGATGGATGTGCTCATTCACTTGCTACTCTTGCAGCTTCTCTTTTTTTCATGACACTTGGCTCATCAAGACCTCATTATCTTGTGTTGCTGAGACAGTCAGTCCCTTGCTTAAGATAACTTAGGTTGCCCCAGACAGCTCAGAGGTAGTAGGGAATGGAGGCCATGTCCTTCATAGCATAATAACAAGTTCGTGTCTGATTCACTTTGTCACACTGTCCACCAGAAGA